TTCAGCCTAACTTAAACTAGAATTAGAGTCACAGCACAGGATCACTTCCAAAGATTAAATTCATGCAAATATTTGTGTAATTCCTCATTTGGCAATTTCTTTTAGAAGATGTAATTATGAAAGTAGAGTTGCCGGGCGGTGGTGGCGCACGCCTTTAATCCCAGCACTTGGGAGGCAGAGGCAGGCTCTGTGAGTTCGAGGCCAGCCTGGTCTACAAAACAAGTTCAGGAAAGGTGGAGGGTGGAGGGGGAGAAAGGAAGAAAGAGAGTTACAAGCTAATTAATGACTGATGTCTGTAATTAGTATAAAACTTGAAGTCAATAGCTATTTTTCCAGGAACCATCCTTCTAGTTCTATGCTACAGAGAAGGTTAAGACTGGCTGGCAGCAACAGTATCCCATCTGCAAGCTACTCCTTGACAGAGACCAGTAGCAACAAAGTTTTATTACCTGACTCCCCAGCAAAGTGATAGGTGAGTTCTTAAACTTAGTAATTCAAGTTGCTTTCAAAATTCTGTGTTTTGCTGGGCAGTAGTGATGTACACCTTTAATCCCAGCACTTGGGAGTTAGAGGCAGAGGCAGGCAGATCTCTGCGAGTTCGAGGCCAGCCTGGGCTACAGAGGGAGTTCTAGGACAGGCTCCAAAGCTACACAGAGAAGCTCTGTCTTGAAAAACCAAAAAATAAAAATATTCTGGGTTTTATGTGTAAATATTTTTGGAGATAGTCCATACCTTTGCATAAGGTTTTCAATTATGCTACTTAACAACTTGACTTACCTCCTCACAATAAATGAGGTTGGTACCTATATTCTCCCATTACAGATTAAAGAAAATGGAATGTGTGAGAGGAGAAAACCTTACTAATAAAGTGATAAAGCATTAATTTAAAATGTCTTCAAAAGATGCATACATGCTGGGAGTGGTGGTATACTCCTTTAATCCCAGCATTGGTGAGTTTGAAGCCAGCCTGGTAAGCACAGCAAGTTCCAGGCTAGCCAGAGCTACATAGTGAGACCCCGTCTCAAAAACACACACACATGCATATATAATGCTAATGTAAGGCTATTCTGACTGAAAACAGAAGTTTTTATGTTAATATATGTGGGCTAAAAGAACTCCTAGGCAAAATATTCAATTTTATTTAATAATATATAAAGGGTGGCTATAGTTGATTTTAATAATGTAAATCAGCTGGGCAGTGGTGGCTCATGTCTTTAATCCCAGCAATCAGGAAGCAGAGGCAGAAGGATCTCTGGAAGTTCCAGGCCAGCCTGGTCTACAGAGCAAGTTCCAAGATTGCCAGTGCTACACTGAGAAATCCTGTCTCAAATAACCAAAAAAAAAAAAAAAAAGTAAATCATTTTGAAATAGCAGGAAAATACTGGAAGTTATAAATAGAGGTTATAAGAGGTTTTTACATCTGCTATGTTAGTTCTCACAACTATCTATGAAGTATATATTATCATGATCTCTAGTTTATAGAGGACACACAAATAGAGATGATATATAATTCCCCTAACTCTACAAATTGAGTGTTCCAAAATCTATTCTCTTTATATGATCATACTGCTTTTGCAAACATGTAACATGAAAAATTTAAACTACAGTCATTTTAAAAGAAAGGAAAATCAAATATTCGTCCAATTTGGAAAAGTCTATTATAATAATACACTTCTGCTGTGGGATGTTCTGTATGGCAAATGTGTTGCTGATTAGTCATTAAATAAAACACTGATTGGCCATTGGCTAGGCAGGAAGTGTAGGCGGGACAAGGAGGAGAATAAAGCTGGGAAGTGGAAGGCTGAGTGAGAGAGACACTGCCAGCCGCCAAGATGAGAAACAGCATGTGAAGATGCCGGTAAGCCACAGCCATGTGGCAAGGTATAGATTTATAAAAATGGATTAATTTAAGCTGAAAGAACAGTTAGCAAGAAGCCTGCCATGGCCATACAGTTTGAAACCAATACAAGTCTCTGTGTTTACTTGGTCGGGTCTGACGGCTGTGGGACTGGCAGGTGAGAGAGATTTGCCCTGACTGTGGGCCAGGCAGGAAAACTCCAGCTACACACTTCAGTTGTTCTATTTTGTATAAGTCAAGAGCAGTGATTGGAGAGAACAGAGCAATTAAACATGCATTTTTGAATATATGACCATATTTAACTTACAAATTTGTATATGCAGTAAGCGCTTTTTGTTGCACATTTTAAGCAGAAGATAACTGAAAGTCTGAGGCTACTATCACTACCCATCAGTGTCTGCACACTCCTTTTCTAGACTGTCCCGTCAATGCCTTTCTCCTCCATTGGAGTTCTTTTCCTTCTGTCTAGTGAAAATCCAACTAAGTCTTCTAAACCCAGATGAGACACTATCTGCTTAGATACAGCATTTCTAGCACTTCAAGGCAAAATTAACACTCATTTTTCCACCAGCATGGAGGTTATTTATTGTCTTTGTCATCTGCTGTATGTGTCTCACCTAGATGATACTGGGCTTGTGATGTCAAGAGCTATAATAAAGGAGAAACGGACCCTAAGGTTCTACAGCTTTAGTCAGTAAAAGGGCAAAACAATAACCAGCATTTTGACTAAGGGATGCCTAGGAGTCATGCTGACATGCTATCATTTTAAAAACAAACATTTGTCCTCGTGTGAATGACCCCAAATGTTTCTGGCAATGCTCCCTGCACAAAACGTGAGAAGTAAGTAGAAAGGCTACTATCTCATACAGCAACTCTCTACTATGTTTCATTGAGTTTCTACTACTTGTTTCTCTCAACTTCAAGAGGCCCAGAAAGCCTCTAGAAATATTCACATGACCTTGGGGGGTAGGGGTGGGATGTGTGTTTGAGTATTCCAGGTATCATTAGAAAAGAAAGGAGGTGAGTGAAATTATAATGACATGGTAATGTCTGACAAACTCAAAACCAGTTTAAACTAAGAATTAAACACTGAAACCAAGTTAGTAAATGTTTAGCTATGTAACTGTTAGATAAGGTGACCTTTAACTTTTTAACTTCTTTGGAGTCCATCACTGCATAAATCCCTTAGGCAAATTCATTTTAAAAGACCCAATGTGAGGCTGTGGAGGTGACTCAATGCTTGCTGCACCTCCAGAGGGTGGTAATTTGGTCCCCAGCAATTAAGGCAGGTAGCTCACAACCATGTCTAGCGCCAGGCATGCAATGAAATAATTTTTTTTAAAATAAAAACTCCATGGGCACCTGCACACATGTGGTGCATGAGCATGTACACACACACTTTAAAAAAAAATTAACAACAACAATAAAAAGGAAAAATAACCAATGTGTACCTTAAAAGTGAAGAAACTAAAATTAAAGGCTTATATTTTATTTATTTATCTATTTGCATTTTATGTATACATTTGTCTGTATGAGGGTGACCCTGGAACTGGAGTAACAGTTGTGAGCTGCTATGTGGGTGCTAGGAATTGAACCCAGGTCCTCTGGAAAAGCAGTCAATGCTCTTGATCAATGAGCCATTTCTCCAGGCCAAAATTAAAGGCTTAAAGCAAATTGAAGGAATACGGACAATAAAGACCTTTAAAAGATGAAAAGTAGCTTGATGTGGAGGCAGAGGTAGGTAGATCTCTTGAGTTCCAGGCCAGCCTGGTTTACAAAATGAGCTCAAGGACAGCCAGGACTAACTACACAGAGAAACTCTGTCCGGGAAAGAAGGAAAGAAGGAAAGAAGAAAAGAAGGAAAGAAGGAAGGAGGGAGGGAGGGAGGGAGGGAGGAGGAAGGAAGGAAGGAAGGAAGGAAGGAAGGAAGGAAGGAAGGAAGGAAGGAAGGAAGGAATCTTAAATGAAACAGGAAATATCTTTACACATTCAAGAACCCTACCTTACACTCTTCCTTCAGAGATATAAAAGGGATTCTCAGAATGCTAACACCGAAGAATAGTGGATTTTATTTTTTGTAGTTTGGTGCAACCGAAATCACTATTTCTGATTATCTGTTCAAAATAATATAAAGCTTGGCAACTCTTACCAGACACAGGAAAAGACCATTTAAAACAAATCTGATACAAAGTTTTAAAAATACTACACAGGAAGAGACTTGATTACTTTCATTTCTTTATGCTTACATATCACAACAGAAACTCTGCAAAGCCTCCAAGTGGTAAGTTTAGAATGTCAACAGTTCTCATTTTTCTCTCAAGAAGTGCCATTTGGCTACTTTAAAAAATGAATTTGGGCAGTGGTGGTGCACGCCTTTAATGCCACCACTCAGGAGGCAGAGCCAGGCAGATCTCTGTGAGTTTGAGGCCAGCCTGGGCTACAGAGTGAGTTCCAGGAAAGGCACAAAGCTACACAGAGAAACCGTCTTGAAAAAGACAAAACCAAAAACAAAACAAAACAAAAAACAAACAAACAAAAAACAACAACAACAACAACAAAAATGAATTTGAGTCAGGTGGTGGTAACGTAGGCCTTTAATCCTAGCACTTGAGAGGCAGAGGCAGGCGGATGTCAGCCGAGGCTACATGTGAGATTCTGTGAGGAATAAAAAAAGGAAGAAAGGAAGAGAGGAAGAGAAAAAGAAAGTCAGTTAATAATTAATAAAAATAACCACCCAAAACAAAGGCCAGATATATCTGACATTTTAGTTACTCTCTGCATTCGTTTTAAGATTTTTACTAATTATGTATATATGTGTGGGTATGTGCATGTGACTGCAGGTGCCCATGAAGGTTTGAGGTGACAGATCCCCTGCAACAGGAACTGGGAGTTATAGGTGGTTGTAAGGTGAGTTCTCTGCGAGAGTAGTACAGGTTCTTGGCTGCTGAGCCATCTTTCCAGCTCCACTCTCTGTATTAGAGTATATACATAGAATTTTGTTCTTTCTATATGGAAAATAATTCAAGGGGCATCAGTAGTACTTCTGTGGTAATTTAGTGGCCCATGATTCTCAGCTAGGCAGTTTTGTTTTCATCTTTTCCTCTGGAACATATGGCTTTAGACCTATTTTCTATTATTACAGGCAAACAAGAAGGATTTACTTGTTCGATTAAGCTCTGCAGTGAAGGTTCTACCTGAGTTATGAGCAAGTCCTGTGGTGGGCAGGAGGAACCAGTACAACAATGAGCATGGAGCCACAAGTTCGCTGTTCAAGTTCTGGCTATGTGACTCGTAAGTCAGGGTTTTCTCAGGGAAACATGGGCTGGAGTTAAACAGACAAACCCTACTACATAGCAGTCCCCAATTCATGTTACCGTCTTTCTGATTCTTGTACCCTCATAATTAAAATATTACTATAAAATTGGAAAATAACATTTTCAGAATGATAATTCACTGAAAATCATTTGCATAGATGTCCATTTGAGTCAGCAGTACAAACGGCAATCTTACAACCCTGCAACTCATCACCTCTTTGTTGTATGTAAAGTAACATCACAATTTAAGCATACTCAACTTGAAACCTTGGAAACAATGAGACCCAACAGCAGTGGTGGTACTGCTCATTGGTCCTTAGAACATGAGAGCAGACCAAAGATGGGAAAGCAAGTCAGCCTTAAGAGGACTCCATGGAACATTCAACGCTGTCGGTGAGTTTGGGATTAAAAAAGAAAAAAACCACCGACCGTTGACTGTACCTTGGGATCCTTACAGACAACAAATTTCCTGATGCAAGGAATAGGCTGTATTGTCACATCATATGACATCACGTGAAATAGTCCTATGGCCTGTTCTTTAAAGGGAATCAGCAACTTTTTTAAAGCTTCCATGTATTTAATTATTCATTGTTGGTTTTTTGTAATATTTTGATAACCAAATGCTTCATTTTAACAATTTATGAAGAGTGCCACCAGAGGACCAAATGCACTCAAATGTGCCATTCTAGTGAGAGAAATAGTATGTATTAAAAATATCTATTTAGTATAAAAATAAAATCTGGTTAAATATGTTATTCCCATTTCTTCCACATTCTTTCAAGATTTTGCTTTAGGGGCAAGGAGAGGATTTAGTTAGCAAAAATAGTACAAAACTGTTCAATGTCTATACACCTTACCATATTGTACCTGAAACTGCAGTTACTATGGTTAGGATTTGACAGCCCCCATGAAAGCACCAGTTACTAACTGCCGATTTCCATCTCCATGTGCTTATTTAAATCTTTCCTAATTTCAAGCAAAAAGATACAGAATGAATTTTGGGTCACCCCCTAGCTATGTGACCCTAAGTATCCAAGTGTGCTTTTTCAAGTATAGAAAGGAAGATGAGAGAGCCTATATATCACAGTTTTGATTTAATGAGAAGATGTATGAGAATAATTTGAATTATTTCTAGCTTATAGAAAATGCTAGCTACATAAACAATTACTAAACTACAAACATAATCAATGCTACTCTATCTTGAAAAAGGTACTTATTATACTTCTCAATTTGAAACAAAAGATGAATCTTTTGTTTTACAAAACATGCTTTACAGACATCAGCACCCCAGCCCACGTGATCAGAGCTACCTGTGAAGTTCTCAGATAGCATCTTCTTCTTCTTAACTTTTCAGTCTTGAAGGATTTCTTGCTCTGCAGTCAAGGTTATCTATAATTATGAGTCCTCAACCATACAAATGGCTGGTTACTAACATAACAGACTTCAAAGAACCATTGTGGGAAGAAGACCCAGGAGATGGGGAAGACCAAGGCAATTTCATCAAATGGAAACACTGAAGGCTGCACTCAACATTCATTGCTGTCGGTGGGTTTGAATGTCAATCAACTCACTGATCAATGAATGCAAACTGCGGACCAAAAAAGCACAATGAAGCAAAAATACTCCCAGATAATCACCAGATAATCACTGCTCCAGATAGGACTACAATTTTGTAGCTAAAGCTTCTTTAGTTTCTTTGCTTCTAATATGAAGGAAGTTCTATAATTGCTAGTACTTTTCGTTTCTTTCTCAATTATAATAAGTTTAAGGAAATTATACTATCACAGGCAAAATGAATAATATGCTATTAACATCATATTTAAAAACAATGCTTTCGATGGGCAGAGGTGGTGCACGCCTTTAATCCCAGAACTCGGGAGGCAGAGCCAGGCGGATCTCTGTGAGTTCGAGGCCAGCCTGGGCTACAGAGTGAGTTCCAGGACAGGCTCCAAAGCTACATTAGAGAAACCCTGTCTCGAAAAACCAAAAAAAAAAAAAATAAGAAAAGAAAACAATGCTTTCATAATTTTTAAATTAAAAAGAAACACATGATCATTATTTTAAAATTCAAGTACATGAAATAAAATTGAAAATCTATTCTCAAGTCAAATGCATTCCCCTTCTGTGAAAACCACTTAAGAACATCCATTTGATAGTATTACAGTAAAGACAATAAGGTAAAATGTTATTCCCTTGAAGACTTATCTACATGTAAAACTGAGACACAATTAATTTTGGGGAAGTTCAATGGTAACAAATTGAGCTCATTGCTCTTTAATTTACCTTTTCACTCAGCTATACACACTTAACAAACAACATTTAGCATCATTTGGGGTAGGGGGAAGGCAGGTCTTATGTATCCCACATTGGGTAGCTGAAAATGGCCTTGAACTTCCGATTCTCCTGCCTTACCCTTCCAAGTGCTAGGATTACAGGTGTGTACCACCAAGCCTGGTGTATGTGGTGCTGGAAGTAGAACTAGAGGCTTTGTGTATGACAGACAAGCACTCTACCACCAATAACTACAGCTCCTGTGTTTATGTGTGTGTGTGTGTGTGTGTGTGTGTGCATGTACATATGTTGGTGCATGTATAACCCAGAAGTAGGTGTCAGGCATATTCCTCAATCACTCTCCACTCTATTGTCAAACCTGTGGCATACTTATTCTGCAAAACTAGAAATCAAGCCGGGCGGTGGTGGCGCACGCCTTTAATCCCAGCACTTGGGAGGCAGAGCCAGGCGGATCTCTGTGAGTTCGAGGCCAGCCTGGGCTACCAAGTGAGTTCCAGGAAAAGGCGCAAAGCTACACAGAGAAACCCTATCTCAAAAAAAAAAACCAAAAAAAAAAAAAAAAAAACCAAAAAAACTAGAAATCAACCAAGTTCCAGAAATCCTCCTATCTCCACTTTATTGGTAATGAAAGTATAGGTCCCCACAGCCTTTCCCAACTTCTACAAGGATGCTGGGAAGCAAACTCAAGTCTTCATGCTTGCATGACACCTAATAAGCCATCTCCCTGTCCCCATCAATTCTTTCTCATTCTTTTGAATGATTATATGTCTTATTATAAATACTCTGGTTTTTATGGTTCAAATACATTTAAAAAAATCTCTTGACCAAAACTATGAGGCCCATCTATTCTTACCTTTGGAAAATACATTCTTAAAATAAGAAAAACAACTAAGTGAGATGGGAAACACCCATTTTATGGTAGCAAAAACTAAAATATCAGTTCTCCAAATTTCATAATGAAGATGAGCCACCAAATCTTTCCTGCTAATGAAATAAAAACATGAGCCTTATTTGTAAGTCATACAAACTTAAGTCTAAGAGAGAAACAGTCTTGTTAATTTAGCTTTCTTCTCATAGACAGGATGGAAAGGAGAGAATATAGTTGTACTAAAACAAGAAATCAAAAAGAAAAAAGAATTAATAACAAGAAAGCAGAGAAAGTATGAGGTTCAAAAACAGTGTTTTCGAAACCTGGCTGTATACCATAATCATCTAGTATTGCTGTTAAAAAATGCACATTCCTCAGTATTTATCATAGATCAGAGATGAGGCCTTATTAATATTTTAATAAGCTCATTGGGTGACTTCTCAAATATTGGAGGCTTGCCTAAAGTAAAGCAAATGCACTAGTACAATATTGGCTACTTATCCCCTGTGGACACGTTTCATGCTGCCCACTTTCTAACTATTGCCTGATATGTCTTCCACCACTCTTCAAGGTGCATAAAATCCTGGCATTGCTATGAAGTAGCTCACTCCAAAACACATCAGATTATCTGGAGTTTTACAAAAGTAGGTACACTTGCACTTATGTCTTCACAAAACATGAAGGCCCTAAGGAATGAAGAAGGTTAAAATTCAGATTGTGTCACCTAACAACTTTTGATACAAATGAAAAGCTTTGGTCTGGCAGGAAAAGTGCTTGCTACTTAAGCCTGATGGCTTATGTTTAACTCCCAGAACTCAAATGATTGAGAGAACCAACTTCTGCAAGTTGTCCTCTGAACTCCACTGCTGTGGAATATTTGTACAATGTGATGACAGATTGCCATGACTGGTGTAATAAAAGCTGAATGGCCAATGACTAGGCAGGAGAGATAGGCAGAACTTCCAGGCAGAGAGAGAACACTGGGAAAAAGAAGACAGAGTCACCAGCCAGATGAAAAGGAAGCAGGATGAGTACAGAGTAAAGGTAACCAAACCACATAAAAAAAAGTAGATTAAAAGATATGGGTTAATTTAAGTTATAAGAACTAGTTAAAATTAAGCCTAAACTAAGGTACAGCTTTCCTAAGTCTCCATGTCATTTTTTGGTGAGTTTTTTTTAGTGAGCGGGTGGCCCAAAGAAAAATCCGTCTACATATGGCATCCAACATAGTTGCTCGAATATTCATATAGGGTCTGAGAAAGCAGTCTCTTGGGTAGGCTCAGCACACAGAGACATGTGAGCAATTGAGCAGCAAGCACTTGGTATAAACTCCTACAGACACAACAAATTCCCAGAGCTGGGAAAGGTAAATGTAGCTCTGGGGTGGTACCCATCAACATGAAACTAGGTTCTCACAGAACTGAGCGGGGCGGAGGCAGCCACCAGCACAGAGCCGCCCAAGGTAGCCTAGCAGCTTAAGATTTGGCTCACATGGTCAGAGGAGGCTGTAGACACACACACAAGCAAAAAAAAAAAAAAAAAGAGAGAGAGAGAGAGAGAGAAGAAAGAAAGAAAGAGGTTGAGGATTTAGCTCAGTGGTAGAGCGCTTGCCTAGCAAGCACAAGGCCCTGGGTTCGGTCCTCAGCTCTGAAAAAAAAGAGAAGGAAAGGAAGGGAAAGGGAAAGGGAAAGGGAAAGAAAGAAAGAAAGAAAGAAAGAAAGAAAGAAAGAAAGAAAGAAAGAAAGAAAGAAAGAAAGAAAGAAAGAAAGAAAGAAAGAAAGAAAGAAAAAGCCAGGTCAAGGCCAACAAAACCTCTGAACAGGTTACAGTGTGTTTAAAACTTAGTACTTAGGTGCTAAAGAAAGAAAAAGAAAATGGGTATAGACAATCATAGAAAAAGGAATAAAGTTTAAAAATAATAAAGTCTTTAAAGAAAGAGAAAAGTGATATAAAAAGAATAAGCAACATGAGGATGAGAAATACATAGGGTTGTCTGTATCCTGTAGGGCACATTGTTGACTTTCAATTTTTAAAATGCTAATGTACAAAAAAACGATAGCTGCTAAAGGACATTGGACTGTGGACACTGCTAAATTAAACCAACCTATATATTTTAACAACATCTTCACTTCAGAATGAAGTAAAAAAATATGTTGCGTTGGGTTATGCCTTTGTTTCCACAGGAAACAAAAAGTTATGGTTCTCTTCAAAATTAATGAAGATGAAATTTAATTGGGAGAGATCTCCCAAAAATCTTGACTACAAAAAAACAAGAAAGACTACATGAGAGATGACATATATGCTGATCCCTCTCCTATGGGAATAGCTTTGATGAAACTGGAGAAACATGATAAATCTAGTTGGCTACAGAATCCTCTTATCTTATTATTATATGCCAGCCTTTGTAGTGATATTTTGTTTGTGCTTTAACAAATAAATCTTGCCTGAAGATCAGAGTGCAGAGCTAGCCACTAGAGGCCAGGCAGTGATGGCACATACTTTTAATCCCAGCACTTGGGAGGAAGAAACAGGAAGTGATATGGCTGGGCAGAAGAGGAAGTAATAAGGCAAGGTGGAGACAGGAGTTCGGTCGGCACTTTCAGGCTGAGGATTCAGTAGAGGTAAGAAGTGTCTCTAGTGGCTGGCTCCTTTACTGATCTTTCAGCATTTACCCCATATATCTGGCTCCAGATTTTTATTATTAAGACCAATTAGGATTCATGTCTATGGTATGGATAGAGATTTGGTTATATAGTCCAAGCAGACTTATAAAGCCTTTGACCTACTCAAACATAAAACAAAACATCATCTTTAGCTGACTTTACACACCACACATTCCATACTTGTGTTAATACAGATATATGTTACCTTTAAAAGTTTATGTGTTTTCAGAAAAAAAGGACCAGACACCAAAAAAGAAAAGTAGCCCAGGTGATCCAGCCTCTCAGAATGCCTCTGTTACAGTTTCCTCAAAATTCTGCATCAAGAACAACTAGCTGACATGGTCTAGCCTTACAGACTATCCAGCCAAGACTTCAGAAAAGCTCTATACTTTCCCATCACACAGAGACTAAACAAAAAATAATACAGTTAACTCTCCCAGTACTTGACCATTATCCTAATTTTCACAGAATCCCCTAAAGATGCCGTCACCCTGAGATAACAGGAAGCAATCTAGAGAATATGACACCCACATTCCCAAGAAGAGGGGTGGGTGGTTTTTGGTTGTTCAATGGATTACGGATGTTTATCATCATTTAAGGGGGTTGGTTACAAGTTGTTGGTCATCAGGGAAAAAAACAGAACAAAGAAGATTAGATTCAGGGATCTCTTTCTGAAGGAAAAAGGGGGGATATAGTATAGAAATGATGGAATAAAAGGGTGGATTGTTGAGTCTACTTTTGAACAACCATTAGTCTCAAGTATTTTACATTGGTATGGATTTTTATATACTGACACAAATATAAGGGTTTTTTATGCTGTATGTTATGTTTCTACTCTTGTTTAAGGTTTTGTACCTATGCAGCTCACTTAAAAATGTAAAGTTCTAGTCCTTAAAGCCATTATTATAAACCATTTAGGATAATTAAGAAATGCAGGTTAGTAGTTAGTCATCCATAACGATCAAACTTGCAGTCATGTTAGGTATGTCTTCAAGGTCATACATAAGATATATTTTTGATAGAGTGATGGTCTTCAAACACTTCAAAGACCTACAGAATATAGTATTTATAATGTTTTAATTAAATAAGGTTTTTTCATGACAGTGAGACATATCTGCTCCTGGCAGCACCAATTTACATCAAGAAAAGATGATGGGCATCAAAGATACGGAGTTTGCTTTATGTCAAAGCTAGTCATTTGGGCAAGAAACTGCCCTTGCTTCAACTGCTGACAGTATGCTGTCCCAAACTGGACTAGCATGACACAAAAGAAAGCAACTGTCAAGCTTTACCAAGACAAGGTAGGACAGTACTTCAAAATTCCGGCTTTACAGAAAAATCTGTCAGATATTCTAGACCTGTAGGCTGAAGATGGATGCCCAATGTTACAGAAGAACCTTGGGTGACTGTTCAGGAAGCCAGATGTCTCTGTCATTTCTATAGTTTTAGAAGTTACTTGCTCTGCACTTCCTGTTTACTCAGGTAATATTATATCCTTCTCCAGTCTTTGATGGGGTTGAAGACTAGATAGTTACAGTTTTGTTACCAAATTCAAAAAAGAAAAAAACAAAAAACTCACAAAAGAGATATAAAGGGCATAAGGTTGAGAGACATAAAAAGATAGTTTTGTGTTGGTAATACAAGTTAGCATAGAAAGTAAATTAGGTACAAAACTTTTGACTCACCAAGACAGAATAAATAATAGAATATTTTCTCTGAATTTGCCAAATACAGATAGACTGAACGTTGTAAATGTAACTCTTACCTGATAATTGTTCTTTTTTGTTTGTTTGTTTTGTTTTATTTTTCGAGACAGAGTTTCTCTGTGTAGCTCTGCACCTTTCCTGGAACTCACTTGATAGCCTAGGCTGGCCACGAACTCACAAAGATCTACCTGGCTCTGCCTCCCGAGTGCTGGGATTAAAGGCGTGTGCCACCACCGCCCAGCCTGATAATTGTTCTTATTGTATTAGTTTTTTACTGTGTTAAGCATTAAAACCTTCCTTTTTTATATAGACAAAATAGGAATGTTGTGGGATATGTGTACACTGTGAATATGTATTCCTGTGATTGGTGTAATAAAAAGCTGAACAGCCAACAGCTAGGCAGGAGACTTCTGGGACTTCCAGGCAGAGAGAGAACACTGGGAAGAAGACAGAGTCACCAGCCAAATGGAGAGGAAGGAGAATGAGTACAGAATAAAGATAACTGAGCCATGTAAAAGAACATAGATTGTAGATTAAAAGATATGGGTTAATTTAAGTTATAAGAACTAGTTAGGGGGGCTGGAGAGACGGCTCAGTGGTTAAGAGCATTGGCTGCTCTTCCAGAAGACCTGGATTCAATTCCTAGTACCCACATAGTAGCTCACAGTTGTCTGTAACTCCAAGATCTGACACCCTCACATAGACAAATGTGCACATAAAATAAAAATTAATTTAAAAAAAAGAACTAGTTAGAAACAAGTGTAAGCTAAGGCTGAGATTTCATAATTAATAAGTCTCCAAGTTTTTTTTTTTTTTTTTTTTTTGGTGAGCTGGTGGCCCAAAGAAAAATCCATCTGCAGTTTACATATGTGCTGTGATAATTATGAGTTATTTTAATTAATACTATATACACATATGAAAACTATGCACAACATATATGATTCTACTTGGATGAAATTCCTAAAATCCCTAGAAATTAATGAAGGTTTTTTTGTTTGTTTTTTTTAAGAAATCTAAGAGCTTTCTTTCTGATATGCTGATAGATTGTGTGTCATTTCCTTATACCTAGAATATCAGTAGGCTTAACTACATCAATAAGGAATTCTACTTCAACAGCCAAAATCTTGTATGGCTTTTCTTGGAAAAAATTAAATGCTAGATAGAGTAGAGAAGACAATTATATGAGTTGAAGGATGTTTTCTAAAAATGGGACTCAAATAAATAGCTATATCATAGATAATTAGAACACAGGGAATTAAAGACACATCCTGTATCTGTTATTATCACTGTGAGTGAAGCCATGTAAAAAAGCTTTGTAAACCTAGTACTGCCCAAAGTATCGTAGTCTCACATGGTGCCTCTAGAGCAGTGGTTCTCATCCTCCCTAATGCTGAAACCCTTTAATACAATTCCTCATGTTGTGGTGACCCTCAACCATAAAATTATTTTCATTGCTACTTCATAACTGTAATTTTGCTAGTTATGAACCACAATGTAAGTATCTATGTTTAATGCTGTGAAAGGGTTGATCAACAACCCCAAGGGTTTAAAACCTACAAGTTGAGAACCACTGTTTTACATGGATTCGCCACTTTCAGCAACACAGACACAATCCCTCCACTCACCAACCAGCAGAATATGTATATAAATTGTAGAGAAAGAGGTAAGCTATAATCCAGGGTTTGAAGACAACTTTTTCTACTCAGCCTGAATAGGATGTGTCATTAACTCTGGGTCCATCAGAAGAACCACATACCAAATGTTCCTCAACAAGTTTGTGGTAGATTCTGTGTAGGGGAGGGCACAGGATACAGCTCTCTAAGTATAAGCTTCCAAGGCAAAGTCTAGTAAGTGAGCTCACAAACCTTAAAACCATTTAAGCAATGTTTCTTCCTTTAGATCCTTCCAACAGAACACAGTCATTTTTAAAGGTGTGGTTTAGGTGTAATTTACATACCACACAATTCATCCACTGTATACTCACAAAATTTATATTCATTTAGCTATGTAACTATTACCAAAATTTAAGAACAAACATTTCTATGACCCTACAAAAAAAAAACCATTTACGCTTATTCCTAATCAATCCCCATTCTAATACCAGGCCACAGATAATCACTAACCTGCTATCTCTCTAAGTATACATCATCTAAGTAGCTCATCTTAGTAGAATCACATTTGTATTAAATGATTTTTATGTGTATATAACATATACTGACCAGATTAATCATTTTGAAGCATGACTTTTACAGGACTGTGTTAAGGTTACAATGCAGTGTAACCATCACCACTGCCCACATCCAGACTTTTTTTTTATAACTCTAAGCTGGAAACTCATTAAACAATAATATTTCCAATATCCCCTAGGAAACTCTATCTTACCTTGTCTCTATATTTTGCCTATTCTAGCTATTTTCAATACAAGGAACCACACAGTATTTTTGATCTAATTTAAAAACTGACATCAATGCCGGGCGGTGGTGGCGCACGCCTTTAATCCCAGCACTCGGGAGGCAGAGCCAGGCGGATCTCTGTGAGTTCGAGGCCAGCCTGGGCTACCAAGTGAGTTCCAGGAAAGGCGCAAAGCTACACAGAGAAACCCTGTCTCGAAAAACCAAAAAAAAAAAAAAAAACTGACATCAGCCGGGCGGTGGTGGTGCACGTCTTTAATCCCAACACTCAGGAGGCAGAGCTAGGCGGATCTCTGTGAGTTCAAGGCCAACCTGGGCTACAGAGTGAGTTCCAGGACAGGCTCCAAAGCTACACAGAGAAACCCTGTCTCCAAAAAAAAAAAAAAAAAAAAAAAAAAAAAAAAAAAAAAATGACATCATTTCATTTTAAGAATTATTTAAGTTAGGTCCAGCAGTACATACCTTGAATTCTCTAAACTTGGGAGGTGGAGGCAGAAAGACCAAGCACTCAGAGTCATCCTCTCCTACATAGCATGTCTGAAGTCAGCCTAGGCTACCTGTGTTAAAAGGCAAACACATTTCTAAAAATCTTATATATTTTGGATACAACTCCTTTAAAAGATACTTCATTTGCAAATATTTTCCCTCAGTTTGTACCTATCTTTCCATTTTCTTAATGTCTTTTAATGCTGAGCTTTATATGTTAACATTAATATTGTGTGGTCATTCTCAATTACAGGATACAACAGTTTAAAATGTGTACTTTTTTTGTGCATTGATGTTTTGCCTATATGTATGTCTGTGTGAGGGTGCCAGATCCCCTGGAACTGAAGTTACAGACAGCCGTGCGCCACCATGCGGTTGTGGCAAACTGAACCTGGGTCCTCTGGAACAGCAGCCAGTGCTCTTAACCTCTGAGTCATCTCTCCAGCCCAAGAATGTGTACTTTTAATCTTACAATAAGCTAAAGTTATGCTTCAAATTTTGAAAGCTAGCTACATTACTTTTCAGAAAACACTGTTTTACTGTTCCTTTCCAAGTAACATTGTCTATTTTTCTCAGGGGCCTCCCTCTTCATTTTTCACTTAGAACCTATCACCACCTAGTGGACTAAGTAGGAATACACCAATGCATCACCACAGTGGCTCACCACTTCCATTTCAGAACAAACCACTAGATGGAGTCTCCAGAATCAGAGAAGAGCTCCTGTACCTAAAAAACGCAGTTGGATAATTTGTAACCACACAAAATACAAATATTTATACAAATAACAGATGCCATGTACTCAAGACAATGCTTTGATTAAAGAAAAACAAAAATCTTTTGTAGGAAGCATGGTACTGGCATTACAATAAGCTTTGGCTCCCAAAGATTAACCTAACAAAATAAATTTACCAAGCTTAATTCAACAAGATATGAAAATTATAATGCCTCATAACTACATGAAATTTTTTCCCCAAGGTTATATGGCTCATTCAATTTTCAGACTTCAATCAGTGAAACCACATCAACAAAGCATACATCAAGATGCAGAAATTGTATTAAAACACTTGGACATTGTTCATAAAAAAATTCCTACCAGCTGGGCGGTGGTGGCGCATGCCTTTAATCCCAACATTCAGGAGGCAGAGACGGGTGGACCTCTGAGTTCGAGGCCAGCCTGCCTGGTCTACAGTGACTTCTAGAACAACCAGGGCTAACACAGAGAAACCCTATCTCGAAAAGAAAAAGAAAAAAAAAAAGGTGTGGTGGCACATGCTTGCAATCCTAGCATTTAGAAGGCTGATAAGAGGATTGTAAATTCCAAGGGAGTCCAGACTACACAGTGAGAGAGTCTCTCTCCAAAAACTGAAAATGGGTCTGGACATGCCGGTGCACACCTTTAATCTTAGCACTTGGGAAGAAAAGGCAGGAAGGCCATCCTGGTCTACACAGCAAGTTCTGGCCAGTTAAGGCTAGAGACCTTATTTCAATACAAAAAAATTTACTACAGATCTACAGCCATAAAAGCAAAGTAGCTATGACAGGAGGGGCTAGGATTGTGGCTCAGTGGAAAAGTACTTACCTAATATAAGTAAATACATTAGTTCAAACCTCAGTAAGACACACACACACACACACACACACACACACACGTATGCTATAGACATGAAAACAGTCTGGACAATAGAATATCTGTATTTGTTCAAATATTTGTGTGTGTAGTTTTTTTCTTTTTTTGTACTGCTGGGGATCAAACCCAGAGCCTTGTACAAGCTAGGCAAGACCAAATAAGTTTTTGACAACTTTGTCTGAATTCCATAGGGAAAGAAATCTTTTCAACACACAACTGGAAAAACAATGTCCATATAAAAAAATAAGTTAAATATTACCTTGTACCACACGCAAAAATTAACATCAAATACGTAATACAAAGAAAAAATTATAAAACTTTTAGAAAAAAACAGAGAAAGGTCATCTTGAATACCACCTGAGTAGACTGAAAAGCTTTTAGGAAATCGGTAAAGTACACCTTCAGGTGTGTCTGTGAGAGTATTTCTATGGAGGATTAACTGGGAGATGGAGAGGGAGAACTATTCTGAATGAGGGCACCAACACCAAATAGGCTGGGTGCTTAGATGGAATAACAGAGGAAAACTGGAAAAAATACTCGTAACTGAGGTACTGACTCTTTGCTTCATAGCTACAGTGAAGTAATAAGCTAATTAAATCCTTCCTCCTGGCTCAGTATTTGTCAGAGTGACAAAAAAGTATGACTAACACAAAACGTTAATACGGAAGAAGTGGGGTCACTGCTACCATGTGGCTCTTATGCCTTTGGAACGGGCTTGTAAGAGGAACAAACATGCAAGAGTCTGAAAAAGCTAACCAGACAGTGGTTCTGGCAGAAACTCAGAAGATAGGAATGCTGATAGAAACGCAGACAGTGAAGTCTACACTCCTGAGGTTTCAGGTGGACTGAAATGTGAATTATAAAGACTGTTCTTGGACTCTATTGGGAATCAGACTAGAAGGTCATTCATGCTACATTCTGGCAAAGAGCTTGTTTACATGTTGTCTATATTCTGAGACTTTGTGCAACTCCAAGTTGAAAAGTAATAAGACTAAATTTAGGCTATGGCATGGTTATGGCTGATTTTTTTTTAGGTTAACTGTGATAATTATGGGCAAAAAAACGAGTCAAAAGACAAAAAAATTTACAGTCTGGCTGTAAGCAATGAAAGAATGGTGACTATGGAGGTCAATTTCCCTCAAAAAAAAAAAAAATTGCAGGAAACCAAAGATGCCTTAAGGGCATCACAGAAATTGTCAGTCTACCCAAGGCTCAAGGGTATGAAAGTTTTAATAT